TTTAGAGAACTTGCTCTATTTCAAGATTACCACGGCCTTCCCGCTTTCAAAAATGTAAGTATCGTCTTCATATATATGAGTTTATTTAACTTATATATACTAATAATACAAAAGAATACAATTAATTGTCCATAAAAAGCGTTAGTAACAGTATTACACTAGAGCGGAGTTTACCCCGAAGAGTAGCGTATACATATTCCCTAGTTTAAAACAAAAAAAGAAAAAGTAATACTAGATAGATTATCCAATACTACATAGGAGTATTAAAATACGTCGATAGTACAAAAATTCATCACATTACTTATATTAAGAATATTCTCACTTAATTAGAGTGGCTATGAAATTATAAGGATAATAATCTCACATTTTAAGGTCACTTTTAATGCAGGCATTGGTTCAATTCATGGCTGAAATTAGAGGGAACAAAGTCACCTTTGATTCAAACAAGCTTGTCCTCACCGCCGGCGCAACTTCCGCAAATGAGACGCTCATGTTTTGCCTCGCCGACCGCGGCGATGCTTTTCTCCTTCCCACCCCATACTATCCTGGGTAAGTATTTAATTTACACCATCAGTATATTTTAACTTGTCGTAACAAATAATTAGTTGTAATGCACTTATCTTTAAACCACAAATTGATTCGTTACTTATAATTTTTGCATTGTTATAAGCAGATTTGATAGAGATCTCAAATGGAGAACTGGGGCTGAGATAGTGCCAATACAATGTACAAGTTCAAATGGCTTCAGAATTACAGAATCAGCTCTAGAAGAAGCATACAAAGAAGCCAAAAGTCGTAACCTTAGAGTAAAAGGAGTACTAGTAACGAACCCCTCGAACCCATTGGGCACAACATTAACACGAAATGAACTCGAATTACTTCTCAGCTTCGTCGATACAAAAGGTATCCATCTCATTAGTGACGAAATCTATTCAGGAACAGTTTTTTACTCGCCGAATTTCGTTAGTGTTATGGAAGTATTAATCGAAAAGAACTACATGTACACTGATGTTTGGGATCGAGTTCACATTGTCTATAGTCTTTCCAAAGATCTTGGCCTTCCCGGTTTTCGTGTTGGTGCAATTTACTCCAACGATGACGTTGTTGTATCTGCAGCTACTAAAATGTCCAGTTTCGGGTTAATTTCCTCACAAACTCAGTACCTTTTATCAGCCATGTTATCTGACAAGAAATTCACGAACAAATACATATCTGAAAATCAAAAGAGACTCAAGAAACGCCATGCAATGATGGTACGAGGTCTTCAAAGTGCAGGAATTAGTTGCCTTGAGAGCAATGCTGGTTTATTTTGTTGGGTAGATATGAGACATTTACTAAGTTCCAATACTTTTGAGGCAGAAATTGAGCTATGGAAAAAAATAGTTTATGAAGTTGGACTCAATATTTCGCCTGGATCGTCATGCCATTGTACAGAACCAGGGTGGTTTCGTGCATGTTTCGCTAACATGTCAGAAGATACGTTGAATCTTGCAATTCAACGTATCAAAAATTTTGTTAACTCCTCTGCTATCAGTACCGATGCTCATAGTAATCAGACTAACCAGAATACGAGTACAAATACAAAGAAGAAGTTATTCTCCAAGTGGGGTTTTCGACTATCGTTTAATGACAGAGAACGATAGTTCAGTGTGAACATTCCTTTGTCCGGATTAATTTTTTTTAACTCATCAATATTTTAGATGTTGAGTTTCCCAAAATCCTTTTGTTTTTCTTTTTGTATCAAAATTCTTTTTGTTTTTTGTATTTTTAGTGTATAGAGGAAGCACTCGGTCCATGTGATGGACGTGAAGTGGTTTATCATTATTTGTATACATCTTGAATATTGAATACATATATGTGTGTGAATCTTCTTGAATTGTTCAAAAAATGTCTTGAAATGTTCATTATTTCCATCACATGATGACAGTCCCATATGATAGTAAAACACTTGCATATGTTTATTTGATCCTTTATTTATTTAGAGTTCGGTTATAATACATACCTATGAATATTGGTTAGGGGTGAATAGAAAAATTAATGGGAAAGATCGACACCTACATGGCAGCGGCGAAATGAACGGCAATGCAACATGTCATATCATGCCCAAGTTGGACGTTGGATGTTGGCCAACTTCCTTATTTTATTAAAATATATTATTCCTCAACCGACCTTTTCTAGTATGCAATAGGATGGAAGAGAGAAAAATCAGAAGATCTTCTTGGGTTCAATTAGTCGAGCTATGGTGCGCAAAGAAGTTCATTTGAATCCTATTAGTTGAAAATTTACATAGTATATACAAGGTTAAAATCGATTTCACACAAAAAAAAAATCGAACTATGAATTAAGTCATTAATGGATTTCGATTGACTCACAGGGCATTATATATATATATATATA